AGGAATTTTGGGAGTTGAAGCCCACCCATCTTAAAGCTGCCAAGTTTGAAAAACAATACTCCAGATATAGTTGCCCTTTTCTTTTCATGCAGGATACATGAGCCGGAGGGGATCCCTAGAGTACCAACCAGTTTGGTTTGAGGAACTGCAACCCTGCCAAGATGGAATTTCCTGGGTGTCAGAAGACTTCCAAAAGAGGAAGCTACTCCTTCTGGCTGGAAATGAGGCTAAGGGCTCTGCCTATCTGGCATCCTTAATTGGATTTTGTTAGATTTATACCCCACATTTCCCTCAATTGCTGAAGATGAAATACATGGGACCTCCCATAATGTTACCCTTACAAGTTATACTATGGGGCAGTCTGGGCTGAGAAAGGGTGATTGGCCACCACTCAATTTTTTCTTCTCCCCCTGCTCTTTTAAATTAAAAGCTCCCTAATGACCTGTTTGAAAACATTACCTTTTTATTATGCTTCGAGTAAAGGAAGGCTGGCTTGAACTTTTTATATCACTCTCGATCATGATAAATATAAACGATGCTGAGGAACAAGCAAATGTAACACCTTTAGAACACACGTGAATGTGTTGTGATCATTCTGTTTCTGTGGCTGCAGGTTTCATGGAAAGCCCCCAAACGCTTTTGTTTTTCTGGAGACAGGACCAAAAAGCTTCTGCCGAAACCCGGGATCGAACCAGGGACCTTTAGATCTTCAGTCTAACGCTCTCCCAACTGAGCTATTTCGGCTGCTCTTGCTCAACCGCTCTTTACTTTTGCCAGATAGAACAGTTAATTTCTAAATATATCCATTCCCCTTAAATCTGTTCTAGCGAGAAGCGGCCACTGCTGTAAAACTAAGATCCGCCGACCTATCTTTGAAACCAGACTGTAGCCCTGTTCCATGGAAACCTTGTTGCGTTAGTGGGGCTACAGAGATCCCTTGGCATAACATTGTATCTTACTTTCAGTTCATACTGGCCTCCCAGCCCTTTTAGAAGAATGAGCCCCGCCGAGCAGTACCGACGAATACGATTTAATACAACGGTGGCACATTCAGTCGAGCGGCCGGCCAGTTTCAATCCCGCGCAGAAAGCGTAACAAGAAGTCCTATCGAAACTTAGCAGCTAGAATTCTGGGAGTTGAAGTCCGCGCGTCTTCAAGCCGCCGAGTTTGAGGAACGCTGTTCCAAAGGAAAGCCCTCCAATTAAATGGCTCTAAACTCAAAAGATGGAGCGGGACGGATGCTAGATGCTCGGCCGGGTCTCTGCGCTTTGGAGATGTAGCTGGCTCCCCGCGCCGATCACCGAGACGCCTCAATTCAGGCTCTCATCAGGCTGAAGCAAATACGGAGCAAAGTTTCCAAAGGCATTTAAACAAAGTGTTCGGTTATATAAAGTTAGAGAGGGGTTCGGGGTGGATTATCAGCTCTTTCCATGAAAAGGTGGGTGGCTCTTAAAAGAGCCTTTGGTGTCGTTGTGGGCGGCGGGGCAGCGGGCGGGCCGGGGGGCTCTACTTGCCCTTGGCCTTGTGGCT